GTGTGTGTGTGTGTGTGTGTGTGTGTGTGTGTGTGTGTGTGTGTGTGATGTAAAAAAACAATCAAACTCTTGTTATATTGGTCTTTTGTCAATGGCTCCTCCTGTCACAGACTTGTTCTCCTCATATCAACTGTGTGAAAACCACACGTCCACACAGATGTGTGATTAAGACGCCTTCATGCCAAATATCAGCACGCTTGAGTCATCTTCACCTCTTTTCTCTTAGGGAGGACATCTTGGAAGAGGAAGGATAAAGGAGGTATAGATGAATCGGGGGAGGAGGGGTAAAAGGAGGGAATGGTGTCGAGGGAGCGATGGATGAAGGAGAGGGGGTGTGGGGTGGAAGTGTAGAGGGAGGGGGGGGGGGTGTGTTCTGAAGCCCCCGACTGGCAACCAACCAGTCACATCACTCCTTTTATCTAATTACCTCCATGCTTCACCCAATTAGATAGCTCCTTGTGGTTTTTTTTTACAAACTGCTGCTCAAGCAGCCAAATCCTCACGGATGAGGTTGCCAAGGAAACTGCTATGGGTGACAGCTGTTTCCTTGGTGATGTGCTGCAGGCCTAATGGTGTCTGGGTTTTAAGACCTTTGACGGGATGTTCATGGGTGCACATGTAGCACAAAAACAAGCAGTGGTAGAGGCACGATGTTCATTATTCAGTGAGTGTGCACACAATACAGATGGATCAGACATGAAATAACAGCCACGAAGCAGCTGGAATAACTTTTTCAGTAAATGTGACACAGCCTCGATCTGATTGGCTGTGGTTCCCAAACCTCCCTGTCACTCGTGATGTCACAGTTCACCAGGTCTAGACCGGTCGCTGTGAGTTTTGGGTTGGGAGGGGTGAGGTCATCGCATGCCTGCAGAGAGCAACCAGCTCATGCTCACTGAGGTGAGTCTCCTGTAGTGGGATCATGTGTCATGTGTCCTCCATGTGCTTATTTCATGTCCCCGGTCTCGCATCTCCGTCCTTCATCTTCTCTTCTGGTTGCACCAGCAGGACAGGAGACTGTTCTAACAGTGTTGAGCATTCAACAGCTGGATATTTATTTATGGTAATGCAGTGAACCAGTAAAAGCTTACCAGCATTTGAATGGTTTCTGTTTCTGGTAACCAACATTAGCCCGTCCTGTCCCACCTCTCGACGCCCTTCTTTACACCCCCCCCCCCACATTTTTCCTCCCCCCTCTCTCTCTCCCTCCTCTCTCCCCCTCATTCCTGCCTAGTAATCTGTTAATGTCCTTATCCTGTCATACTGGTGCTCATGCATCAGCTGACCCACACATAAACTGGGTCACAGGGGCCACATGTTAGGACCGGAAGGGCTCTTTATAAATCTTTTTGTGTAGTTTTCTGTCTTTTTGTGTCTACTGCTGTGTTTGTCTTCCTTGTGTCATTTGTAAATCTATAAAAACACACATGCAGCTCAGCGCATGGCAGCTCTGTGCTCAGAATCAAGTGTAATAACAGTAATGTTCAGGCTAAAGTAATCCATTCACATCAGAACTGCTGGGATGGTGGCAAACTTGAGTGATTGGTGGTAAAAAAACGATGACTCCTGCTCTGACCCCGTCGTCTCGAAAAACAAGCATGATATCCAGGAAATGGGAGGAGTTTAGGTAGATTACCAGCTACAAAAGCAGTGTGAACATGCTTGAATTTGCGTGCGTGGCTTCCTTCTGGTGTATGAAACTGAGTGTGTGGGGAACATTTTGTTTCAGGATTGTGCAAGCTGGGAGAAATGTGGGAGTGGCCGAGAGTGCACAGACAAAAAAAAAAAAGTCTTAATTCTCTTTTCTGTTGCAATGACAGTTCTTTAAAATATTTAAAACTACCTCTGGCTTCATAGCCTGTACGTAAGGTACATTCTAGGAGTAATAACGGCCTCAGACAGGACACGTTATTTATTTCCCCCTGTTGTTAAAAGTATATTTTATTTCCTTGTTTTATAATCTGCTCCTGTTTTCCGTGTTAATCTGCTGTTGCTGGTGTTGGCTATTAATGCAAACTCACACTAATATTCCAACACTCCTCCATCTGTTTCACATTAACACATGGCCAGTATTTCATGGGGCATAATCCCGCTGCTCCCCTCAAAGGCTTTTATTGAAAACTACTTTTAATGGCTTCTAACACCGAAGGAAAAACGCATCAAATGAACAGAACAAATGATGTGAGTGAGGACTAATTTATTGTTCGAGAGAAACTCGGAGCGACCAAGGTCGACTATTGCGTGACTGTTGTTGTGCCGATGGGAATAATGCTGTTGAAATCAATATTATGCAGAACTTGCATGATAATATGAACCATTGTGACAGCCTTTTATTTGAGAATTAATACAGTACATGTGCCAGCAACGTACCAGTCTTAATTTCTTAATTATACTGTGATTGTCTGTGAGAATTTATTCTCCAGTGTTTTCAGATGTGCTCGTGATCCTAATCTTCCGTGCCGTCCGTATCTCCTCTGGTAGACTTTGAAGCGTAAGGAGAAGGAGTATGAGCACGAGATGGAGCGCTTGGCCAGAGAGAAGATCGCGACGCAGCAGCGGCTGGCCGAGTTGAAGAACGAGCTCAGCCAATGCATGGACGTGATGGAGATCGACCGAGTCCTCCGTCAGACCATCCAGCCGGAGGACGACCAGGCCTCCACATCCACCGCCTCAGGTACAGGGATGAGATGCGGCAACTCGCAGAAGAGATGCACTGATCAGTCTCGTATATATCACATCTTCAAATTTACACACACACGTGCTAACATGATGGTTTTACGTCGCACACACATATTTACATAAGCCTTCATGTACACACTTTGTGGATGGTTCCATGGTGACTAACGGTTTCCTCTCTGGTCCCCAGAAGGAGAAGACAACTTTGAGCAGGACATCGACGAGGACGTCCTTGCTCCTCCCGCTCTCGCGTCTCTCCCCAAACCGACACCTCCCATCTTACAAGCCCAGCCGCTCCTCAACCATCACCTGTCGATCCAGCACGCCACCCTGCCTCTTTCTGGAGTCCTGAACGTGCCCTCCTCCTCATCCTCCGCTCCTCCTCACGCCATCGCACCTACTCCGGGTCCGCCCCCTCCGCAGCCTGCCCATCCCATTCACCCCCCGGCGATGCAGATGCAGTCCACCGTGATCGCTCACGCTGCCGTGTCCCACCCGTCGGTCATCCAGGCTGTCAATCACAGCCTGCCGGCGAGTCACAAGCATCTAACGCACATCGCCCCGTCACCCGGCCCCATCTCCTCCATCCATCAGCCGATGGCGGCGGCGCCGGCTGCCGCCGCTCACCAGCCGATGGCCGCCCAGCCCATCGGACACATCACCGTCCACCCGGTGGCTCATCTGGGAGGCCCCCTCCAATCCCACCTCCCGACTCTCTACCCCCAGGGCGTGTCTGTGTCCCAGCCCACCATGGTGGGCCACATCACGCACACCTTCACCCATCACGCCCTGCCGCACGTCCAGGCCAATCCTCAAGTCAACAGTAACGGAGCCCAGATGAACAGTGCGGCCGTGATCAGCCAGGGGAGCCCGTCGCTAGGGAAACCCACCGCCGTGCTGGCCCCCCTCCCTCAGCTGGTCGGACAGGCCGCCGTCCTCAACCCTGTCACCATGGTTACAGTCCCAACCTTCCCCGTCGGCACGCTCAAACTGGCCTGAAGGTAAAACACAAAGTAGACGTGGGGCTGTCGGTTGAAGGAGAGAAAGATTCAGACCTTCTGGATGCGTTTTTTACACTCCTATCAATAATCAACTGCAGAGAATCTCTGGCAAAAGAAAAACATCAGTTGTTTTTTTTGGACAACTTGTGATGGAAAATCTCCGGAGATATTTTGGTCACAGCTCTGTTAGTTTGTGAACAATAACATTAAAGCAGTCAGTGGGTCAGGCCATTGTTTGTGGAAAAAAATAAGACATTTGTCTGCGCTGCAAAGACAGGAACTCTGTTCTACCTTCCTTCCTACTTCTCTCCTTCCTTTCCTTTTCTCCTCTCCTTCCTTTCCAACCAGAAGCACTAACATAATAAGCTCAGTTCACACTCAGGCATCAAGGATTTACCTTAACAATTCATCCACTCATCGAGGGAAAGAGAGTTGTTTGTCGTTGGACTGTTGGTGATTCAATATGTGCCCGTTTTTTTTTTATACTCGTAACCATGACGTCACGTGGAATAATGTCACTGATGTGTTTGAGAGCAGGAGGAGCTCCTAATGAATTACAGACCGGTGGAAAGTAGCTCACATTACATAGAGGGCTTAATAGAGCTAAAGCGTTGTCAGTTTCTGATGCAGTTCTTCACTTTTTCACTTTTTACTCATGTTTATTGCATCGAGTTCTTGCTCCTCGGTGTGACTGTTAAACCTTCTCCATTTACCTCCAAATCAGGGTTCCTTGCCACTCCACTTGGCACCAAACACCTTGCAAATAGTTTAAGAAAAAGCCTGAACAGTGCAATAATACAACCAGATCTACAGTTTAAGAAACAGAAAAAAAAAAAAAAGACCAAGTTTGGTCACAAGTGTCCCATTCAACAATGGAGTTTTTTTTATCCACTACGTCTCCGTTATTAAATACGGAGCAACTCCAGATATGAGCGGCAGGGTTAAAGGGGCAGAATTTGGGCAATGATTGCTTAGTTTGCTTAACGTACAGAAGCATACCGGCCTGTTGACGACTTAAGAGTTGGGATGAGAAAGTACTGAATGCAGTCAGTTGAAATATACATTGTTATAGACTGTTTTGACACGATGCTGAACAAGACTCTACATTATCCCAAATGCCTCAAATTTGTGTGGTGAGTTTAATGTGAAAGACTGGAAAAAAAACCTCCTCTACATCTGCTCTCAAAACATTCAGTGACAGGTGTTCCTGTAGGGCCATGGTCCTCTTCACTCTAATGCAACAGCTCCCTCTGCTGCCTCATCCCAGACCTCATTCTGATGTCACACACACACACACACACACTCACACACACACACAAACTTCCTGCACAGGCTTTTAAAATCTACGATGAGACATGTTGAGTGTAAGAGTTCCCTCTTTACCTTGAAAGAAAAGAAAGAAAATCTTAACTCAAGAAGTTGTGTCCTGCATTATATCCCATACGGTCGCCTGAGTAACTCAAACTGCTGAGAAGATTGTAAGATTGTGAGGTGTGGATGAAACTCCAGAAGGGTAGTAAATGGACCTTGAGTTAAGATTTTTACTCGTCAAACAAGGTGACATACATTTGTCTCATCAAACAATTGGGATACAGCACCAAAGAAAGTTAAAAAGACTGGAAAAAGTATCGTTTTCAGGCCTAAAAAACAATTCACATATTGTAGTTTTGTGAAGAATAATTTGGCAGCGACATGACATTTCTTTTTGACAACAAACGAGATGAAACATTATGAAACATGACGCCAAATCCTCTGAAAGAATATGTCTCAAAATGTTTCCATTACAAACAAGGAAAATGTGTTGTGACACCCACTTTTCTTTTGTCTGTGTCTTCTCTGTGTGTGTGTGTGTGTGTGTTCATGTGCACACACTCAAAACGTTCATGGCCTCACAGCCTTCTTGCCAGCCTATACATGTCACACCATGAAATCTCCCATCGTCGTATGTGTTCGCAGTCAACGTCGCCTCTTCTGCTGTTTCTGTGCGTTATTGTCTGTATATGTGACTGTATTCAATATGTTTTATAATCTGTACTATAGTTAATCCTACTGTACCTGTAGCATGGCTCCGTTTGTTGGTTCTACAGTTTGCCCTGTGTGTGTGTGTGTGTGTGTGTGTGTGTGTGTGTGTGTGTGTGTGT